GGGTAAAAATGTTCATTTCAGAACTTGGACACTTTGTACTATTATATAGATAAAGCATATATTATATTGTAAATATAAGTTATATACTCAAGTAGTAAGTACTTACATAATATTGTAACAAATTAAAAATAAGATAAAAAGTAAATTAAAAATTGAGCTTGAGCCCGGCAACTTAGGCCATTAACTGTAGGTTTATTTTTGTATGTTGGTAGTAGGGGGAGAAACGGTTGAAAACACGTTTGGTATGTATGGCGAGGATTTGTTGCTTAAGATCCCGGGTGGTCACCCATCCGGGAACTAGCAACGCCGGCCGTTACGTACACTCAGTGCGTTTTCGCAGTTGAGTGTACGCAGTGCGCCACACCAAACAACCAAAAAAAAAAAAAAATGTTTTAAAATAATGTATATTAAATTATTAACAATAGTCAAAATAATCCCCCCCCCCGCTCATTTAGATAATACCTAATTTGAAAAAATCTATTATTTCGTAATTTTTGTTCTGTACTTGAAATAATTATTTCAGTTTTATAATAAGGTTTGTTAAGGGGAAAAAAATTGGTGTGTACACAGTAAATATTTTTGAGTAAGGGACAAAACCGATTTTGAGTGCGCAAACTCCCTGTAATTTTAAAATACGGTAAATATTTTGTGTAAGGGGAGAATTCGTGGACAACAAATGTGAAATCTCCCTGTGATTTTTGTTACGGTAAAATAATTGTGTTCAACGGGGACAATGGGACATCCTCTATTGAACGTTGTGAAATTACCGCGGTGAAAAAAAAATGTACTGTGAACATACAAATGTATACTTGTGTATTATTTTTTCGCTGGCATAGGTATTTCTTAGTTCATAAATTATATAAGTTAAAATATAATATTTTTTTTTTTTTTTTACAAAAAAATGTCTTAGTTTTTACCACATACTAGTATAAAGTATAATACATAGAAGTTGTAAATAAAGTAATCACAAAAATAGTCTTCACCCAGAATAACTATAGACTCGGGATTTAATTTTTGTAACATTGAAATGTATAGATAGTGGTGGTGATACGGCCGCATACAGGAGACAGCTGGAGTCTTTACTCTTTTGCTAGAAATATAGGTAATCAGATTTTATATTATTTTATTATGGTATAATTTATCTTGGTACTTTGATCTTCATAAGTACCTACAAGGGACAAGGGTTGTGTGCTTGTGTCTGATGGTTCGTATTCTAGTTAACGTCGTTTGTAGTTATTATTATTATTATTATAATAAATTAGTCAAATTTTGTTTCCTTATGTTTTCAGGTTTAAATAAATATAAAATAAATGAAACCGAATTAAAATCAAAATATTGGTTAGATAATTACTATTCATTTAATTGTATTCTTGTTTAACAATCATTAGGGTAGGTAATTATTTAAAACGTCTAAGGAGTATTGTTCAAAAATCTGTTTTTCTAAATTTATATAAAATGCTTCATTTATCACTTTCTGTTCCAACAAGTTCCGCATCTACCTATAGTGAATGAACATTTTCAGCGTCGAATATATATAATATATATATTATATTGTATAAGAGCAACTTTATTACAAACTCTAAGTGGTCTATAATCTGTATGACTATATATTATTTTATAGCTATTGAAAATTTGGAACATTTAAAAACAATTTTCAATACAGAACACTCATAGTGTGCAGAGGTTTTACGTAATGACTAATGTAATATATTAAAATATATTATTATGTTACCCATATCAAATCTATAACTTTCACTAATAATTTAATAAAAATTAAATACTTGAATTTGTATAGATACCTAACTAAAATAACACATTTTAATAATTTAATGTTTATACCTCCCTCCTTCTTCCACTTCTTTATAATTAGTATTATACACACACGACAGTACGACACACTATAATTATTATAAAATAAAATATTAATATTATTATATTGAATATTGATTAACATTTACATTAGATTTATTAAAAATGAATGTTACGTGTTTAGGGGGAGTGGGGGTAGAGTCCTCCACTTAATACACTTATTTTTAAAATTCTAATGCTGAAACCCCCTAACATTAAGGTCTAGTTAAGCCTTCTTAATTTATCTCCCCTCCCCTCTAAGTTATTTACGCTATATCATTTGAACTTTGAAACAATAATTTTTAATCATCAACACCTCACGAAGAGAGGTGCAATGAAGAGAGAAGAACCTCCCGTTTATACCACTGTGGCATCCTAGCATCAAACACATTATTATATTATAGAATTCCGGAGCTCTGAAAAGGAAAGATGAGAACGAGCCTTCCAGATCAGTTTACTGAATCACTCAATCCCAATCTGTGCAATGTTAACCCTACCTTGGAATTTATTTACAAATCAAAACTAATAAGAAAAATCTTAAATACTGTTAGTCCAATGGCCATAGTCGCCGTGGATTTTTTCCTAATAAAAGAAAAATAATGTTTAAATATTATATTGGTATCTACTTCGTAGTTATTGAATATCGAAACAGTTTAAAAAAATATATTATTTGGATTTCGTAGTAGTGGTTATCGATGCAATCGTAATCGAAGCAAATGATATTCGTGTTAACATACGTGGTGTAATATCGAATTCGTAGTTCGTACTAATCACTTGTCGTAGTAATAGTGATATCCCGATGAGCACGGTGCCACGGTCTAAGATTATGAGAGTGGGAGACGATAGGACCTATCAAAACCTTAACCTCCCGAACGAACCGTGATAACAGCAATTTGATATACTCGGGAGATATATATTATTTGGTTGTGCCAACGTTGAAATCAAAAATGCCCCTATTATCTCATATAAATGGAACCACGTTAAAAAGTCACCCGACATAATTTTTTGATTTGTTTAATCTCACGACATAAAGCTACAATGATCAATATTATTAATTAATTCTGGTAAAACTTTTTTTTCTGAAAACGTTGATAGTCAAATCATCAATTTTGGTTTTTAGCTTATTAACTATATTCCCTCTAAAGTAAATGTATAACTACTTTTATAAATACTTTAACATTTTTAATTTAAATAATTTACAAGAACTAAATCATTTTTTCGTGTAAGTTTTAATTATATTTTTAAACACTTGAATCGATAATTCAATGACAATCTCCAAAAAAACACTTATTCAATTTTGTGATAAGTGGCTACAAAATTGTTGGCAAACATAGTTCATTGTATTTATTTTAACATAGTACTTACATTTAATAATAATTTATAAATAGGCTGATTAAATTTGTATTATTGAAGACTAGGTATTATAACTATAAATCTATATATTTTGAACTTAAGAGGACGCCACACCCGCATGTGTTGTCTCCGTCTTACAAATGTACAACATAGCAAAAACTCTTTTGCGAGGGACAACTTTTCTCGCACCATATTTGTTGTAGAACTACCAAATTTTCACAGCACTTAAAGAAGAACTTTATCTGTGCAACAGCGTGCTCTTTTTTTCAATAGCACCATCCAATCATTTTTTATAAGCAAATTAAAAAACCAAATGTTTAGAAGCAAATAACTTGTATTGTATATATGTTATTGAAAAAAAGAGCACGCTGTTGCACAGATAAAGTTCTTCTTTAAGTGCTGTGAAAATTTGGTAGTTCTACAACAAATATGGTGCGAGAAAAGTTGTCCCTCGCAAAAGAGTTTTTGCTATGTTGTACATTTGTAAGACGGAGACAACACATGCGGGTGTGGCGTCCTCTTAAGTAATGTATTATGCATTTATAATAATTAATTTTCTATTAAGCTTAATGTAGCCAAGGTGAATCACCCCGATAGTACTCGTTAATAAGAATAGGGCCGTTATAAAGAAAATATCAATTTTTGAGTACCAATATTTAATAAACAGTTTGTACTTAATAGGTACATATCTGCTGCTACCCAAATATGTAACTTAGTAATATAAATATAAATGTATAATTTTAACAATATATTTTTAATATTTATTTGTCATGTCTAAAAACCTAGATTTTTCAAAAATATAATTATGATATAGATAAATTAACCATTATACCTATAATTTCTAATTAGTTTTAATGACATTTTCGTTTATTAAAATTATTTCTTATTTTTTTGTAAATATCTCTTAGTACCTATAAAACTTTAGTACCTATGCTAAAAGGGAGTTGTATTGTTGTAAACATGATTTATTCATAACTATTTATTATATATATCATTTTTTGTAATTTTTTGTTTTGCTAAATAAATTATATATTATCACTATTTACGTAACTATAAATTATCGACTGTTGTTATATTACTTCGTGTTTTCTTAACAATACTATAAGGACTAATATTATATTGTTTCAATATTGACCTCTAAATGGAAACCAGCTATATGAACTAAATCCATTTTTGAATTTGGTTTCAGAAATTATCCTTTAAATAGAAAATTAATCAATTTTTTATTATTAATTTATTAAAGGTTTTTATAATTTTATTTAACCTATCAATTATTTCACTATCGTTCACGTGCAACCGAGTCAATATTATTACTGTAAATTAAATAACCTTTTTCAGTTTTTTAAAACAAATTGTATTACTATAAGACTTGCGCCTACACAATATTGAATATACATAAAAAAAAACACACGCCATTGTAAAATAAATACATTCATCGCTTCGCTCAGAATCTAAAAAACTTCACATAATCACATGAGAGTATAAGACGAGCTCTGCAGTATAAATGTATACAATACAAATCGAAATACAAATCCTCGTTAAAAATGTTAAAATATTTTAGTATAATATATTATAACTACACTACTACCTATAACCTATAATAGGTATCTAATGGTTTTTGGAAAAAAAACTGGCCGGAAATCCTCACGCTTGTTGATTATTGAACGATGGCCGTACTCGATGGCTTGTACAAGTCGTTTGGGAAATTTTTGAATTTTTCGAATAAACTTATTTTGAATTGCACTTAAAGTTAATATGAAATATAGAGTTTGACTTACAAACTATCACATGTTAAAAACATGGCCACTATCAATGACTTCATCATCGAAATCATTGAAGATAAAATTAAGATGAAGTTAGATGGTTTATCACTATGGCACCATATGGATGAAAACTTTCATCAATCCGAAGAAAACGAAATACTTTCAAAAAACGACGATGCTGATGAAGTGATTGGTGACATTGTCGCAGAGTTAGTGAATTCTGTATGCATGCTGAAAGGCGGTGACGCTAGGTACACCAGTACTGTCCGGGGACAACCTAGCAAGTTGCAGGTCACTGCTGTACATACTGGCGGCATGGTGGACGAGGAAGACTTACCAGCTGAGGGCAAACAAGAAGAGAGGGACGATACAAAACTGGGCAGGCCACAGGCTGAAAGATTTGGAAGCAACCCCGCGGGTAACGAGCAAATCTTCACGTGGACGGCCTAGGCGCATTGTCACCGCCGCATGGAGAGGCGTGAGGTGCCTCTTAGTGGCTGTTACTGTGGTTGCTGCCGATGAGAATGAAATCCACAGTTTTCTACTCCCTCCTACCCAGTTGAAAAACACTTACACGGTGAAGTGGGGAAGTGGTCAGTGGTACGTGAAAGAGCACTTTATGGTGTTCGGCGGTAATTCACCCAAATCCGTTTTCCGTGTGACGAGATCACGGTTGACAGCGTATATGTATATGGTGGCTCGGCGTGGGCCCGGCTGCTTCGGCACGACGGCGATTTTATATCACAGCGACGAAGACTGTTAAGCACAACAGGTGAGTGATAGAGCTAAGCTAGGAAATCTATGACCTTTCAGGGTACGGCGGGACTCCAGGGTGAAAATTACGGAGAGTATTAGGAATTCAGGACCGCAGTGCGTTGTGGTGAGTTCCGCCGATTCTCTCCTTTTTTTGCCCTGTGGCAATCCCGCCGGTCGAGTCACGCCTCCGGTCACAGCCGATTCCATTGCAGTACCAATATAACTTTACTGTCTTTGCTCGCTAAGTGTTTTTGGTCTCCGACCATAGCCACAGAGTCACCATCGTCACATCAGTATCATCTTAGGGACCTGCAGTAGCGTCACGCCATCGCGCACTAGTCACTCGCCGTCAACTGTCTTTTCGCTCCCACGGTCGGGTCATGATGGTCGTGTCGTCACACGAGGGCAACTGCACTCGCCCGGCCACGAGAACGTATAGAAGTGACCAGTGGCCTTTGCTTTATGCACGCACCTCCCTATCACGTACCACTCCCCTGCTTATTGTGTCTTATCTGGTGTTTTTTTTTTATTATCATTTACCTATATATTATTTTTCTATTCGTTCAATTTTCATTCTTCAACATTTCAAGCCACTTTGAGCCATTTATTTTGTTCAACAATATTTATAAATTGTATAAAGTCTAATGGCATTTTTTGATTATATTATTAGGTACATTTGTATTTAATATTTATTTTGGGCACATCTGATTTTAAATCCAAAAGTCGATTCCTATAGTCTAGAAGCTTATATATTCAACCATTTTTTTCAAAATTACAATCGAACTTCAGGAAGTATGTTTTTTACTACTGCTTTTAGTAGTTTTTTTAGTTATGCAAACAAGAATATATTTCATTTTTTGCGAAGTATATTGACATGTGCGTGAATGTGCGAGAGTTGAATCGTGCGGATTGCGGCGGTTACTGCGATGCGCCATTACAGCGATTCTCGGAAAATGTTCTCTGAAAATGTTCTGATGTTCATTTACTACTGACAGATAGAAATAACACAAATGTTCATGTCATATGAATTGCTTAAATATTACTCCTTAAAAGTTAAAACATGATACGCTGGACCCCCTTAAGGGGTATGAATAGTATTGGAAAATTCTATGAAAATGTATTTTTGTATTTCCAATATTATGGTTTATTGAGCGGTTTGAAAGCAAATACACCTATTATCAATATTGTAGAAGAGAAGTTAATCTATGTCTGTATACAAGTCAATTTTCGATATTTTTAATACTTTACTCAATAATTCAAATTCAAAAAGTAAAATTTCACACGTTTTAGACCTAAATATTGGACCTTGAAAATAAAATATCGAAAATTGACTACTAAACAAGCCTAGATAAACTTCTTCTCTTAAATTTCTGTAATAGGTGTTCACACTCTAATGCCACTCAGTAAGCTATATTATTGGAAATACGAAACCAAGTTTCAGTGTTTCACTAAAATTCACAAATTTTGTAATGAGCGTGTAAAAGGTTACGTTATGGATATTAGCGTGCACGTGCGGGTGCGATGCTCTATTTATTTTATACACAATCACTCACACTAATGATCACTTACTACGCACCCATTTACACGACCCCCATGCAAACAAATAGAAAATTGCCTATATTGAACGCCTTAGAAACGGTTGGTATTTATACTCCTTTATAAAATATAAATTTGTTGAACACTTTCAATAGGTACACTGATTAAAAATAAAGTTTTCCACAAAAAACAAAATATTGTTCCTTTTTTTTACGTATTAGAGTGTATTTGTATTTTTATTTATTTCAACAGAATAATGCGCCTCACTGAACATGCTCGTGTGAGCCGGAGGGCTCATAAAATGTTAACCAACAATGATTTTGTTACACACCAAATCTCAATAAAAATTAAGTAATTAATAGCAGTGGTGTATTGGTGAACAAATTTTTGGGTATACGCACTTTAAGCTATATTTTATTGCAAAAAAAAAAATTTTCTCGCTACGCTCGAAATATTAATTACATAATACATTACAAGCTACATTAAACAATTTGTACTATAATCTTCGCTTTTTCTATTTTTATACACAGTATTTCAGTTTGTATGTTAATTGTTAATATACTTTTAACTATTATTCAGATACTCACTCAATAGATAAAATTATATTTTATTTATTAATAAAATTTTTGATTTTAAAATGGTGATGTCTTCCACAAATGAATCATATATCTAAAAAGTAGCAAATTCTAGACAAATATTAACAGCTGATTGGTAACTTAATTTATTAATAAAAAATTTATAACAAATACTACTTTAAATCATTTATTACTAGTTAGTAGGTACTATAATATTTTCCACAAACTTATTTTTTCTTCTTGGACTTTAAACTGTTTTGGATTAATAGCAATTAATTTAGTGTTTGTTGAAAGTTGAATATTTTTAAATACCATAACTTCTTTAAGTTTAGAAACTTCAGACATATGTTCTCCCGGAGTAACTTTAAATGATTCTATAATCCTTATCGTTCTTTTAATGTGCTTTTGGCCTTGAATAAGTGTAGTTGTACGTTCTTGTAATTGATTAGATAGCATAGATAGTTCTTGTAGACAATCACACATCAAACCCAGGTCTGATACAAATTCTGGACTTGCCAATCTTTTTTTTAGGCCAAGATATTTGTTTCTAGTTTTAGAATCTTTAGTTGAATCATTTACAGCATTACAAAAATGATTACACAAAGCTGGAAATGTTTTCCATACAGCATTAATGGCCCTCCAGCTACTGGCCACCCAACAGACATCAAGAACTCTACCCAGTTTCAAAAATAAAATATCTAATTCATTACACACATTTCTGAGTTCATTTTGATTCTTAGAAGAAGCGTTGTATAAGACGTATAAAGAATCAATGAAAGATTTAAAGTGGTTTAAAGCACCTATGTATTTTATTGAGTCATGAACTGCCAGTTCTAAACGATGGTTTAGGCAGTGCAACAAAACCAGTAGGCAGTTGTAATCATACCGCATAGTTTTATTTATAAATAATCGTTTATCTATAATCGTGGTCACGGTCATCTTCTAAGACCGTGATCGTGGTAATAATGCCATATTGTATACAAAAAATATTCTCGATTAAGTTGTGATATCAACAAAAATATTCAATAATAAAATTAAAAATATATTATCAATATTGCATATTTTATCAGTATATACGCTCCTATACGGGCGTATACCTGCGTATTGTGTATATTTTAAAAGCTATACGCTCTGATCGACAAATACGTTTTGGGTATACGCCGTATACCCCCGTATACCCTCCAATACACCACTGATTAATAGGTGTTTTTGGTATAGCGAACGTATAATAATTAATATTTAACCTGTGTGAATACCATTATGAAATCTGAACAGAGGACAGAGGTAAATACAAATTTAAAAAACAGGTACGATTTTTTCTGGTACCTAATAGTAATATTTTGCAATAGTGAATAGTCAATAATTATTTAAATTTAAATACCTTTTTAATTATTTTAACACTTACTGTTATAACTACTTTTTTGATTTATTGAGATAATACGAATATTTAAGGTTATATAATTAAAATGTAAAATATATAAAATTATGTGTGTTATTCAAGAGTGTATGGCCTCAGACCTGAGTCATAATGAACATAATAAATTAGTAAAATTTGAATTCAATGATAAATCATTGCATACGAAAAACGATTCTAATCGAAGACTGTGTGTCAGCCTAAGTGTAGTACTAAGTGAATTTTTTTGATATTATTGCTATTTAATTTATTTTACTATTAGTAGGTAATACACTAAAATAGAGTAGGTAAAAATCATTTTTGCAGAAAATATTGCATTTTAAATGTCTTGTGTATTTAAAATATATTACGTTTTAATAATTTTTTTTTAATGGAATTATAAAAAAATGATTATAGATAAAAATTATGTGGACCCCCCCCTGAAAAATACAAAATCTGCTACTGAATCCGCCCCACTTCTATACAATATTATAAGTTATGACAATTATTTAAAAATAATAAGAACCAATACATATTATATAAGATCAACTTGTTTTTATTGACACTTTACAGACTTACAAAATGAATATTACAAATATACGTGTTTAGCATACAATGTATACAAACATGCATAGGATTATAAATCACACACAATATGCCTACCAAACAGACTTATTAAAAGATTAACATTGCAGTAGAAAAAAAAAAGTAATTATAATAGCTACAGCACAGTATTTCATTTTTCTAATATTCATAGTGGAAAAAACATTAAATAAATGGCACTTACTATTATTAGGTAAATTTATAAAAACTAATAAAAAAATAGTATTTTTATTCTAACTAAAAGCAGACATTAAGTTCCAACATGTTTAAATTCATATACTCAGCATGTGTGTAGCCGATGGCAAGTATTCTATTTGTATGTTTAATCTAACAATATATACAACTATAAATTATGACGATACATGGAAAATTAAGAGATCTAAAAAAAAAAAACATACAATCAAGGTTTAAATTAATATTATATAAGTACAACAGGTCAGTTTAAAAATCTCCATGTATCTACGATCTACCTATTAGTAGGTACTTAAAGTTTGAATAGGTCACACAACATAAACTAATGGATAGCTGGTAATTATGTATGCCCATTCATATACATAATATTATGTTCGGTAAAAGTCTATTTTATT